TATCTTGTATGTGTGGATGATCAATGCTCATGGAATCTTAAGGCATCAAGCCTAAACACCTCGAATATATTTAAGGTGAGAAAGTTTAAGAAAGTCCACACATGTGGAAATAATTCCAGATTATTTTCACAGCCGCAGGCTACCTCTAATCTCGTTGGAAGTTTGATAATGAACAAGTTAGATGATCCAAAGTTGGAGTATACTCCAGCAGAAATACAACGTGACCTCAAGGGGGATTATGGAGTTGATTTGAACTATATGAAAGCATGGAGGTCGAGGGAAAAAACGTTTGAACTGTTGAGAGGTAAACCAAGCGATTCGTATAATAAGCTGCTGGGTTTTTTGTATATGTTAATGCATACAAATCCTGGGTCAGTGACAAGGTTAGAAAGATCAGATGACGGGTGCTTCTTATATGTATATGTAGCACTCTACTCATCAATTAAAGGGTGGGAGTACTGCATGCCTAATGTTGTTGTCGAGGTTAGCTTTCTAAAATCAACACACAGAGGGACGTTACTAACGGCTTGCACCCAAGATGCTGATTGAATATAATAATCGTAATGGAAATTATTTCATCTATAACGTGCATAAATTATCCGACTATTTTGGTGCTATAGCAGCTCTACATTTAGTATAACATATCATATCGTCATACCTTTACAACAAATCCGCTTTATCGTATTTGATATGTTGTATAATTTAAATTTTAAAGAAAGTTAATTTTTGTGATGTTCAATAAGGTAAAATATTCCCGATCGCGTATGTTGTGGTTAATTCGGAGAATGATGCATCATCGGAGTGGTTCTTCCAGAATTTGCGAGAAACATATGGTATAAGAGAAGGAATGTGCATCGTATCTGACAGGCATGAAAGCATTTTGAAGGCAACGTCAGTTGTGTATCCAAAAGTGCCTCAATGTGTATGCATATTCCATCTATGGAACAACATAAAGTTGAGGTTCAAGAAAAGCCAAAAGAAAATAAGGCCCTTATTTTTTGCTATGGCTAAAGCATACACAATTGAGGAATTCAACCAATACATCTCAGAAATATGTAATATTGATGGGAGAGTTAAACCGTACTTATTCAACATTGGATATGATAGGTGGTCGGCAGCGCATTCAATCGTTAACAGGTCCATGGTGATGACCTCAAATATTGCGGAATCCATGAATTCTGTGAATAAGGCAGCGAGGGATCTACCTATCTACGATCTGCTTGACTACTTGATGAAGCTCGTTGGGGCTTGGAATAACACAAACAGAAACGCAGCATTGGCAACTGGTACAATGCTTAGCACAAAGTATGAAATAATGCTGAGGGAAAAAATCATTGCGTTGAGAAGCATGACGGTAAGTTAAATTGACATACAAGGTATAATCTTAGAATATATAATGAAATTAGAGTGTACTGATAAAAACGTTACTACATCATAATACATATTAAACTATGTAAAAATATACCGCATATACTCATTTCATTGTATAAACTTTTTACAATGAAATATGGATTAAATGGTTTCATTCAATGGTTTCCAATTTCCTTAGTACTTGGATAAGTTATGCTCAATTTTTATGAGTGAAAAAGTTGACTGTACGGGCTCTTTATAAAAATAGCCGGAAATAATGATTAAAATGTATAAACTTTATACAATTTATAAAGTTAATATTTTACTTTTCTTAATGTAGGTTACTCCATCAAATAAACACTTGTATACATGATAGGAGGCGATTTGTGGTGTGCATGCGGGAAAGAAAATGTAGTTGCAGAAGGTTCTAACTGGATGTGATACCATGTGAGCATGCATGGGCGATTGTGACAAAATACCACATGGATGAATACCAATATTATATTGCTCGGCATACTATAGCAAGGATTACATGATGAAGACCTATGAATTTCCGGTTTATCCAATTCCTGACGAAAGTCAATGGGAAATCCTCGAAGATGTATTAGGGGATGCGGTTAAGCCACCAAAAGTAAAAGTTAAACCTGGAAGGCCAAAGAAGATGAGAATCAAAGGTGCCGGTGAGTCCGAGGCTAAAAGGTGTAACATTACATGTGGTTTGTGTGGACAACAAGGTCACAACCGGAAAACCTGCAGAAATCCTCCAAAATAGTGCTTAGCTCTTATGCTAGTCTGCTTATGATGTCTTTAAAGAAAAGCTTTGTTCAAGTTGAAACAGTAGTTTAGTAAAAATGCATTATGTATTATGGTTCATATAAATGTTGTTATTTCCGTATTTACTTCTTATGTTTCTTGTTTTAACTTTGCCATTGTTGCATATTCTATGGAAAAACAGTTGGAAAGCCTAATAGAAATAATACAAAAATAGATATACAACTCAAATATATATATATACCATTTCTATGGATTGTGGGTTTATTTGGAGAGATTGATTGAGCAAATGGATGAAATCATGGTCGAAATCTCCGTGAAATATTCTTCAAAATTAAGCGAAATCCCAAACAATTGAGCGAAAGGATAAGAAGAGTGGAGCGAAATCTTTGTGAATTTTTGGAATGATTGAGCAAAATCTCCGTAATTTTTCTGAACAATTAAGCGAATTCCGAAAATCCATATTATGGTACCATGGCAAAAGGCACAAAGTCTCCGTGATTTACAATTGTGGATCGACTGAGAGAAATATGCAGCCTAATTTATTATATATTTTGATAGTTTGAGTGATTGGAGAAAAGAAGGAGATACTATGAAGAGAGAGTGCATCTGATTTCTTTTAACGATGAGAGAGAATGTGAAATTGCAAAGATCCCATGATCTGTGCCTTTTGCCACGGTAACTAATTATTTGGTTATCTTTAAGATATGCTCTAAATGTAAAAAAAATATTCCCTTTATGTAATAAATAAAGATTGCTAACATTTTCTTAAATATTTTTAAAAAAGTGACGTGCCATGTATATTTCTCTTTTTTTGGGCCATCATCGGCCATTACGCCATTACCAACATAATTATTTTTTGCTGTATGTATTTTAGCTTTTATCTGGAAAAGAAATTTTTACTTCTGTTTTAATATCGTAGTTATATTTGTAATTTTTTTTTACTGTGTAGTTACAACTAATAATATATGCTTACCTACAAAACTTGTTTCTTATAATATATACTTATGGTTCATGAGTTCATGGCAGAATACTTTGCATTACTTTTCCAATAACTATCATTGTAAAGGTAAATTCAATTTAAATTGAGCAAAACACCATTATGCTTTATGAAAGATTCTTGCCATTTAAAAGTATAAAATATAAAATCTTAAATAAAATTTCTTTATGTTATGGCTCTTAATATGAATGAATAGGCTATTGTTTCGGAATACACAAAGAATGAAGAAAGAAGGACTCTTAGGTCTCATTTGTTTTGTTAAGATTAAGACGTCTGAATCTGAATACACATCTGAATATCAAGATGTGTATTAAGATTAAGACATTTAAATCTGAATACACATCTGAATATATTAAGATGTGTATTAAGATCTGAATAGAAATAATTAAGACTGTTTGATTTTTAACATCTGAATGTATAAAACTTATCTTTATTTAAAAATTAATAGATATAAAATTCAAATGAAATACTAACTAATCCAATATTCTATCAATAAAATATATAATTTTTTAAAATGTGATAGTTGTTGGTGGTGATGGCTAACGGGTGAATGCCGACTAGAGGCGGTGGTTTGTGGTAGTTTTGGTTGATGATGGTGGTTCGTGCTAGTAGCTAGTAGTGATTGGTAGTGGTGGCAATTATGATTGAGGATGGTGGTGATGGATGATGATAGTTAATAATGACGGGTGGTGATAGTAGTTGTGACTGAGGAATGTGATGGGTGGGTGGTAGTAGGTTATAATGATGGGCAGTTCCAGCTAGGGTTGTTGATGGTGATGGAGTGGTCATTTGTGGTATTTGATGTGGATGAATGTTGATTGTGGATGAGAATGCTATATGGTGGTCGGAGTGGTAGGGATAGTGGGTGGTGATGGTCAATAATGTTGGAGGCTATGATTGAGGATTATGGTGCCGTGGTGGTGGTGGTTGAGTATGGTGGTTGTGGTGGCATAGTGATAGTTGATAATGGTAGGCGGTGGCGACAGTTAATAAGGAATATGTGATAGCATCTTAATGAAATTAAGTCTATGTTATAGATCTTAATCAAACAGACATATTCAGACCCATTAATTGGTTGTGAAGTAAAAAAAACACACTTAATGATTAAGATCAGAATAATTAAGATTCAGACTTTAAAAACAAGGCAAAATACCTTAAATCACCCCTAAAATTGGCTCAAATTATTAGTGTCCTCCCTGAACTATGCCCGATCCTAATTACCCCATACACTTGACTATATAAATGTAGAAACCCTGATCTGCCACATGGCATAGCAAGTGGGGGCAGATGCACTTAGGCGCGTGAGAGAGCTCTCAAACACCAAAAACAGGCCCCCAAATAACATCCCAACGGCTACAATCCTTCTTCTTCCTATTTATAACATCCTCTATTGAAGCCAAACTCAAGTTCCTTATAATTCTTGATTTTCTTTTTTATTAGTTAAATTACTTAGTTCCATTTTCAGATTTCTGTCCTATTTTTCTCCACCATACCCCACATTAAAGATGAATACACTTTGTTGATGTGGATATCCGGCATGTGTAAAAATTTCTTGGTCAAATGCTAATCCCGGCAGGAGATTTCTTGGATGCAGAAACTATAAAGTATGAATACAGTCATATTATTGCTATTTAGAAGGTCCAATTTTAGTATATTTTTGTTGGGTTTGTTATATATGTTTTCTTTTTGTCTATAATTTTCGTCCATTGTCACCTAACTCTACTTGGGTCATTCTTGTATTTGTCCAACTGAACCCCTTTCTTTACAGCATACTTGCTCAAAGCCTCTTTAAACTCACTCACATTTTCAAAGACTTGACCAATTTGCCAAATAACCTTCTCACAATCTGGATCATATACTACTCTGTTGCTTTTTCTCCTTTCCCTGAAGTTCCCTCCTCCTACTTCATCATCACTGACAGCTTCACCATCAGATTCACTAGCAAAACTATCTGCATCTGATGAGTCATAATATGGCTTATCATCATCACCTCCCAATTTATCTTTTAGATTTTTTTTTAACTTTATCAATATCTTCATAACCTTCATCAAGACCAGCCTCACCTAGAAACCCATCTGGTTTTTCTTTCCTATCATTTTTTCCCTTTTTTTTTGTTGTAAGCCTTCAGATCTTGTTTCACAACCCTAAGTTTTTCATGAATATCACTTCCATAGTCATCGGAAAGTTCAAATTCAGATACTGATGAAGTATTGGAATTTTCTACATCACTACTAACAATATTTTCTCCCTGTAAATCATCACTGGCAGCATTGACAATATCTTCTACTAGATCTAGATCTATAGTTGGTGTTTGGGGATTAAAAATAGGGCCACATTCCCTGCTGCCCCCATTTACATTTGTTAATTCACTACCACCTCCTCCCTCACTTGTCACATGTTGATTAATATGCCCCACATCCTCAAAATTAGAGTCATTGCAGACAAGAATATCTATTGTGTCCCCATCATTTAACAATACTCCAAGGTCTAATAAATCCCTGTCCTGTTTTAATTCTACCACTTTGCCACCCTTAGAAGGTACAATATAAGTTGTCCCTGACTTTTTAATCCCAAAATCTTTAGCAATATCTACTGGTTCTGGATAGACAAGTGATCAAAGTCAATGTTGAAGGAATATTCAATCCTACCCCCAACAAACAGTGGCCCTACTTCACTCATCAACATCCCCCCAAGTTTCCATCTAAAATTAAAGTATTTTGAAGCCATTGGACAACCTACATCCAAAAGAAATGACATTTAAAGAGAACATCTAAAGTTAGCAGTAAAACAAGAGAAACAACTAAAATAAATATAAAATACAAGTACTATACATATAAAACCTTCACTTTAACAGAGAAATATATTACTATATTTTGTTATAAACTGAAATGGCAGGAAAAGCCTTACTCTGTCTCCAAAATAACTAAAATATTCCAAAATATACATGTAGACAACCCTAAATATAAAAATCAAAAAAGCCCTAAAATTTGTTACTTATAACAGAAAAACTTTAAGGGCATGCATGCACAAAATCAAGTTTTGTAGATATAAAGTGGCTATTTAAAAGTTCTAGTTCATCTTCATTTAAGATTGAAATCATTATCTAGATTCAGCTCTATCCTATTTCAACCCTAATCAAAAAATCAAGTTTCAATCACTAACCTTTAGATATGTCTACTTGAATATACGGAGAAAACTGCTGAGAAGCACTTCAAAATTGGAGAAAAAATCGCAGCTAATCGGCAAACAATCGGGAAACATTGAGAGGATTTGAGAGAAAGTGAGAGAGAGAGAGAGTGGGGAGAGGAGTACTGACAACTATGTTTGGAGAAAAATGATCGACTATTCCTAATACATTTACGTGAAACTGTTTGACTGACCACGATTAAAAAATGAATTTTTTTGGAATTTGTGGTCCTAAACAAGTTTAAATGGGCAGAGTATTTGTGTGGTTATAAAAGCTTATCATTAAGAGTAAAGTTATAACTTTAAGCTAAATTGTTACCAAATTTAGAAATTGTTCATTCTTCTTGAAATGGACCAAAAAGGAAATAGGTTCACATAAACTGGAACACAGTGATTATTATGTTTTAATTCTTGTTTTTCTTTTGATTTGTGTATATAAAATAAAATAATATTTCTTTGTCCTACGTGCAGAACACATAAGGTAAATTTTCCAACGTGGCCAGCGCGTGTAAGCACTGAAGTAGGCTATATGAGCTCGGGGGTTCTACGTTCATATAGTTGCATGGGGTAATTAGGACCGAGCATAATTTAGGGATACACTAATAATTTGAGCCAAGTTTAGGGGTGATTTAAGGTATTTTGCCTAAAAACAAATGTACTTAATATCTGAGATGTGAATGATTAAGATTCAGACCTCCATTAAATGCAATTAAATGAGGCCTTAGATCTTACTCCTTTTACGTTGTTATTTCTTTCTTTTTCTTTTTTTTATTTAAAATAAGGCTCTTAGATCTTAGTTGTCTTCTATGGTTAACTTAATTATATTGGGTGTAAACACCACGGGTAAGTTTTTTCCCTAATTATATTGAAAACCTTTCCCTTTCTTTGAATTAATTCTCTTCGTCTCATCACTAAATATTTCCCTAAAATTTCATCTCCACCATTTATTTTGGGATTTGCCGTTTTGGGTTAACATAAAAGCATAAACTGAAATAAGAGAACTTTGCTTTGCAATAAAAGTTGAAGGAAACTTCATTTGCTAAGCCTCTGTTACCATCATTTCTTTTTTCTATTACTTTTGATTCCTAAAGTCTCTTTTTCTCACGTTTCTTTGAGAATTAAAATTTTCAAACAAGTAGATAAGCTTTATTCTACTATGGTACAATAACAAGAACGACGGTTACGCGGCGATTCCAAATTTTACATGANTATATATATATATATCCTTTGTTGGAACTATTGCTCCTTTGATAATTCGAACGCATGACCCTGGGGTTGTAAGTTGGGGTGCTGACCATCTGAGCAACTTCCTCTTGTCGCCAACACCTAAGATAACAACTAAAGTTGATGCAAACTTGCTGAAAAGGTCTTCAATTTTTGTCAAATCCAAATGCTAGCAGCTTAAGCTCATGCTCAAAAACTTCCATTTCTTTGTCCTTCAAACAAACCCATGCGTCTATTCCACCACCATCTTTTGAATCCATCAAGAAAATAACATTTTTGTGACGTTCAATTGGACTAACCCACGAAGATTTTCCCCAACCAAAATCAATATCATAAAATTGGTAACCACACCAGCTATTAAGGTATATATCTACCTCTCGACGCCTAAATGCTCTCGTGAGCTCCATGCTGTCGTAGGGAATGGCAAAAATTGCCTCATCTCGTTCTTGTTTATTCTTATATTTGAAACTCAGTTCTAATAAACCTTTTCTTATACAAGAGACCAAGGTAGGCAAATCACAACAGTCATTCTCACCTTTACGGGCTACGCTAACTGCAACAACATTTCCTACACAATGTTTTGGCATTGGAGGAACGAACCGCTTTCTCATGTTGACATTTTGAATCAAGTATGACGACCTTCTCCCAGTCGGCCCTGATGAAGTAGCGGCCATGACACATTTCCATATCACAGCTGAAACAACTTCAACGCGTGTTGGCACTGGCACTACATCGCTGATGGCTTTAGCCTTGAGCGATACAATAGTAGAAGCATCAAAGACAAAGATTTTACTAATATGTTGGTTATTATCACATGAGGAGATTTTTTGTGATTCAAGCAATGTAGGCAAAACTCGAGGATTAGGAGGTGGCAAGAATTTTGCAGCAGCAACAAATTCTGGAACTGCACATTTGGTGCCAACTCGAGTAGTGATTGCCCAGGCATCGATCAGGGCGCACGAGGAGGCACGATCAGCAATTTTGTGAGAAACACGCGTACTAATAGCCATGCTTCCACATTCAAAAATGGTGACTTGTACGAGTAATGGAACTGTACTATAGGACAATAATGAGTTGTCTTCGACAGTAGGAAGGAAATGTACATCCACATCTGGTTGTTTAAGAACGTCTTCCAACTGATAATTATGAGCAAAAGCCTCATAAAAAGGCACCCCATCGTCGTTGCATTCAATTGAGCTGTTCTTGATTCGACCAGCAAAAGGGTAAAAGCGAGCAAGTATTTCAGACAAAGATTTCTTCAAAAGAAGTAATCTTGATGAATTAGCTGCCCTAGCTTCGTCGCCACCATACAGAGGAGGAGGATAAAATAGAGCTAAGGGAACAGATGTAGGTGGTGCCATCTGATCTAAATAAGAGAATTCAAAGCATCTAAGGTGATTGGGAGTGGGAGAAAGAGGTCTAATGAACTCCATAGAAACTATTTCAATCTTTCTTTCCATTGCTAACTTTGGTTTAATTTCTGGCTTAGATCGCAGGCAATTATATATGCCACCATTTTGTTTATTCTGTTTATATAGTGATGTCACAAGTTTAAGTTGTGATTTCCATCTATTATCAACTTGTCATCGAGAGATGGGTACCATGTGAGCTTTAGGACTCGTTTGTTGCGAGGGATAATGGATATAATTAATTCCAGGATAAAATTTGAGATGAGTTTATTTTTGGTTGAGATAAAATTACGGTATAACTAATAATTCCGGAATTATAGTGTTATTTTTAGGGATATTATAACTTTTAGCCTGCGCCGAAAACTATTTACATCTGATAGCCGAAAAAGTGTATAAAATTTATATAATTCTTGTATATAACATACAGAATGTATATATACACAAAAAATATATAAAAAAAAATTACTCCCTCCATTTCATATTAGATAGGGTACTTTCCTTTTTAGTATGTTTCAAAACAAATGACACATTTCTAAATTTGGAAACAATTCAACTTTAAACTTTTTCATTTTACTCATTTACCCTTAATGAGAAGCTTTTATAACCACACAAATGTCATGGCCCCACAAACCTTTTACTCATTAAGCTTTTAAGACCACAAGTTTCCAAAAGAATTCTTCTTTTTTCTTAAATTCTGTACCGAGTCAAACTACCTCATCAAATATGAAACGGAGGGAGTATACATTTTTCCGGCTATATAGTATTATTTTTCTTTATTTTTATCCTTATGAGAGGGTGGGATAACAACCATACTATCCCAACCAAACGATCCCTTACTTCTTAAATAGTATACTACTAGTATTTTTAGTAAGAAGTCAAACTGTATATCATGTGGAATGGGTTGTTAAAGTTTGCTTTTGAAGGAATTCGGCTGAATTTTCGCTCCAAAGTCGTGCTTATTACACTACAGAAAAATATTTCCCATATTTTTTTAAAAGATTGTTAACTAAGCGAATGAGGAAAAAAAACTATTGAAGTACAATGCAACTTTATATTAGTGCATGTTATTTTAAAGAGTCGTTACAACATTATCTGTTTTTTTCCCCCATTGGCACATTGAAAAATACTACGTTAACTATTTAAAATCGTTCATAAGCTTTACATGGATTTGTCACGAGTAAAAACTCCCCTTCTGTGATCACATCTTCTCGTACTAGGCAAATATAGAATTAAATTTTATGGATTTAAATTCACAATTCTACCACAACAACAATGATCCTGTGAAATTCCATTAGTAGGGTTTGGGAAGGATAGTGTGTACGCAAATCTTACCCCTACTCCGAGGGATAGATAGGCTATCTCCAAAGACAAAAAGAAGACGAAAAAGGCAATATATTAGTACCATCAACAGAAATCATAGAACAAAGAATAGCATCACTAAAACTAGAAAATAGATGAAAAGCAAAATAATAGATAAAGCTTGGCACTAAGAGGTACGAAAGAGTAGTGTCAACTCAACATTAGCCACTAACAGTCTAAGACCAAGTCCAAACAAACTAGCCTCACTCTGGAGCGCCGTAGAGATATGCCCAACTACCTCCTAACCTATAACCTTAATGCTCGACATCCACAACTTCCTCTCTAGGGCCATGTCCTTGGTAATCTGAAGTCATGCCATGTCCTGTGCCTGATCACTTGTCCCCAATATTTTTTAGGTTGCCCTCTACCTCATCTCAATTCTACCACATCTCATCTAATTTAATGAATTCGAAATTTATTATTTTGTACATATTTAACGATTTTTGAAAGTAAAAATATACGGTATGAGCGAAAGATATGAGTTCAGTTGAACCCATAAATTCTACACTAGATAAGCCTTTGCCTACTATCAAATCTTTGTTATGTCTCATCCTTTCATTTGCCAGAAAATCTGTATTTTTATTTGTCTTCCTCCAAACGAAGATACTTCCTCTGTTCTAATTTATGTGAACATGTTTGACTGAGTACAGAATTTAAGAAAAAATGAAGACTTTGAGAGTTTGTGATCCTAAACAAGTTAAAAAGGGCCTAGAGTCTTTGTGTGGTTATAAAAGCTTCTCATTAAGGGTAGAATTGTAAGTTTAAGCTAAATGTTTCCAAATTTAAAAAGGGGTCATTCTTTTTGGAACAGATCAAAAAGAAAATAAGTTCACTTAAACTGGAACGAAGGGAGTAGTAATCGCCTTGTTGACTTCCAACAACTATTTATATTCTTCAATAATAGCCCTAAGAAGGTGAAATTGCATGCTTTCCTCTTTAATTAGCTTTGACAGCCAGTAGGCAATCCGTTTTCACTTCCAATTCAGCATATTTTATTTCTTTTTTTACTAATTTTAAACTTGATGTAGGTTTTATTTTAGTTTGGCTTTCTTTGAATATAGAGGTTTTCATAGCGTAATCTATAGTACTATAGTAGTAATATGTATGACTTTGAGTGAGTGTTCAAATACAATAACACGGTTATCTGTTCTGGAAACATCTAATCCAAATACAATTTGTGTAAAAGCCAAAAAAAAAAAGAAAAAATACTCCGTACAATATAAGTATCTTAAAAATATTTTTTTTTTCCTTGAAAGAAAAGNGAAATTGAAAAACTCCAGACATGGCTGGCCCGATTTTGGCCGATCCACCGCCGTCTGCAGCGGCGAATTCCACTGGTGAATTTGAGGGTCTTCCAATTCCACCGCTTGACCCTACCTATTTTGCCCAACACATGACTGCAGCAGATCAAGGAAAAATCGACGGGTTTCCAATGGAATTACCGGAGGGCGATGAATTCATGCTTGATGACCTCGATTTCGATTTATCCTTCGATGATATCTTCCTTAATAACGGTGATGCCGTTCTCAACCCTGATTTCCTGGCCGATTGTCTCGGGTCGGATACGGATCGAGTTGACCCGAGTTTTTATGGTCAACCTGGGAATCAACTGATCGAGAATTTTGATAATTCTTCTGGAGAGGAACCTCCGGGTTCGAAATTTGTTCCAGCTGACCTGAATTGCTTTGGTCAACCTGGGAGTCAATTGGTTAGGGATTTCGACGATTCTTCTAGATATTTCAAGTCGACGTCAGCGGAATTCTGTGATTTTTCCGGAAATCAAGCAGCTGGAGGCGTTATGGTTATGGATACTTCATCGCCGGAGCTTCGACAGAGCTCAAGCGGCTCAGATGTTTTGAATGCAACGTCGTCGACGTCGTCCCACCAGGTTTCTGGCGATGTCGCCGGGTACCTGAACGTGCCATCGCCGGAGTCCAATGGATCCAACCATGAGGGTTCTCGGGAGTCTGCTAATGACAACAAGGGTTTGGGTGATGCTAGGGTTTTGAATTGCCATTCGCCGGAGTCGCAGGGTTCAGGCAATTATGGTTCAAATGTCTCAGAAGGGCTGAATTATCCGTCAGATTCGAACAAATCGGTACATTCTTCTCCTAATTTTGAAAATAATTCAATAAAAAATGGAGCTGTAGAAGAGAAAATCAAATTAGAGGGTGTCAATGCTAATATAAGTAAATGTAGCTCCTTGTTGAAGAGGAAAAAAAGTAGTGAAGATTCTAATAACATAAACATACACCAAAAATTGACTAATGTTGCATTGAGTGACAATGTTAATAATGATGAGGATGAAAAGAAGAGAGCTAGATTGGTTAGGAATAGGGAAAGTGCTCAACTGTCAAGGCAAAGAAAGAAGCACTATGTTGAGGAATTAGAAGATAAAGTTAGAATAATGCATTCAACAATTCAAGATTTGAATGCTAAGGTAGCTTATATAATTGCGGAAAATGCTACTCTAAAGACGCAGTTGGGGGGTGCTGGTGTACCTTCGCAGGTGCCACCACCACCCCCTGGGATGTATCCACATCATCCTGTGATGTATCCGTGGATGCCGTATACACCACCTTATATGGTGAAACCGCAAGGATCACAAGTGCCATTGGTTCCCATTCCTAAGTTGAAACCACAGGGTGCAGCGCCAGCGCCAAAGAGTAGCAAGAAAGTGGAGAAAAAGAGGACTCAGGTGAAAACTAAGAAGGTTGCAAGTGTTAGTTTCCTTGGCTTGTTGTTCTTCATGCTGCTATTTGGTGGGTTGGTTCCTTTATTAAATGTGAGATATGGAGGAACGAGGGAACCATTCATGAGTGGAGATTCTTTTTGGAGTGGGTCTTATGAGAAACATCAGGGAAGAGTCTTGGCTGTTGACGGACCTGTGAATGGGACTGGTCACTCTGGAAAGTACGGTGGAAATGATTTTAGCTCACATTGTAGTCGGAGAGGTCAGGATGAGAGCGCTCAGCCAAATGTCAATGGCAGTGACCCTCTAGCTGCATCCTTGTATGTCCCAAGGAATGATAAACTTGTGAAGATTGATGGAAACTTGATAATTCATTCTGTATTGGCAAGTGAAAAAGCCATGGCATCTCATGGAGGTGCTGATAAGAACAATAGAGAGACAGGCCTCGCAGTTCCTGAGGATTTAGCCCCTGCTATCGCAGGAAGCCATCCTCACCTTTATCGAAGTACGGCAGTGGGACAAAGGGTTCTTGGAACTGGAGAGGAGAATGGAAAGTCAACTGTGCAACAGTGGTTCCTTGAAGGTGTTGCTGGTAAGTGCTAATCAATCTAGACCTACTCTGTTAATTCCTATCTTTGTGATATGACTGAGTGCTGTTAAGTACCTCATATCATTCAACTTATGCTTTGCTGATATTTTCCCTGTTATTGTGGATGGAAATGTATTTTTCTTGCACATTATACCATAAAACATATCCATGGAGTCGAATCTGGCTTTGAGTTGCTTCTCTTTCACATGTTTGCTTTGTGGAGCTACGAATTCTGAGTTACTGGGAATGACTATCTTCTCGTACAGACCCTTTCTTAATTTTGTTTCTTGCACAGTCCCTTTCTTGATTCTCTATCTGTCCTCACTGTACCTTCCTCTTCATAGTGCATGTTCCAATTGAATTGATGATTTGAAGAAGCCTTCCCCTTTCCAGTAGTTTAATGCTTTTGTGTGTTCATTTGGTCAGGGCCTTTGTTGAGTTCAGGCATGTGTACAGAAGTGTTCCAGTTCGATGTGTCATCTTCTGCTCCAGGAGCCGTAGTTCCTGCTACCAATACGAGGAATTTATCTATGGAAGAAAGGCAGAATGCTACACGCGTCCACAAGGTTAGAAATAGAAGGATCCTCAATGGTCATTCCGTTACCCTTTCTAGACCCTCCCACAACATTTCTGAAGAACAAACTGGAAAGCAAGAGAACTTCAGTGGAAATAAGTCACTTTCTTCCATGGTTGTATCTGTGCTTGTTGATCCAAGAGAGGGAGGTGATGGTGATGTTGATGGCATGATGGGTCCAAAGTCCCTCTCTCGGATATTCGTCGTTGTGCTGATTGACAGTGTCAAGTATGTCACCTATTCTTGTATGCTTCCATTTAAAGGATCTGTTCCTTTAGTGACTACTTGAAGATGGAGCATTCATGTAGCAGAGGCATCATGGACAACCAATTTTGTAGATAGCATAAGATCAGATGGTCCTCACAGTTCACTTAGCTTCAATAGTAACATTAACTTTTAAACAGCTATCATACTTATATAGGGCGACGGTCTTCTTCTTTATGTGATATATCTGCAATAATAGGTTATCGCTCTTCAATTATCAAAGAAGAAAGGCAACGCTCCTTTAAGTTCTCTGTAACTGTGGATGTATGCTTTTTTCCCATCTATATTATGTTTGTGCTCCCTAGGTTTACTTTGTTCATATGGTGACCGAAATTCCTACTATCATTTTTAATGCTTTAGGTGTAAATCAATACGGGATGTATTTTGGTTCGCTCTATTAATGTTGTATTGACGGAGGTCATATTCTGCCTTCTTTTTTTGTGGGAAAAATTGAGCTCCCCTATTGATGTTAGATTATGGAGTCTCAATGCTCAACTGTTGACAAGCCATTGCTAGGTACTAACCAAGGCGTTTACGTTGTGTGGTGTCCGAATTATCTTTTGCGCACCTTGACTATCTTGTTACAAACTTTATTTATTGTCATCATTCATTTCAATGCTTAAATGATTGTTGTTGAGTTCGGTTGCCTACATAATTTATGTATAGCAATCATCGATATAATGAAACGCAAGGAAGTCACATTTATGACTTTAAATTAAACTGAAGAATTGTTCAGCACTCTAAATTAAACTTCAGATTGTAATCACATTATATTATTCAAATCAATGATCCACATATATTCTTACCAAAACTTTCCCTTTCTTCCAAAGAAAGCAAATTACCAAGAAACATGCAGCAAACTTTTATTTAGAATAAGCTATACTGTACTTGTGACCAAAACCCGAAACCCAAAATTAATTATTGGTCATATATCTTTCTTTTACCTTCACAGGTAATCCTCCTTTCATTCTTAGAGTCAAAGATAACACATACTCAGGACATTTTCCATTCTCTAATTGAACATCTAATTCAAACTTTTCTAAAACAGAAGCTGCAATTGACTTCATCTGAATATAAGCCATGTCTTTTCCAAGACACATTCTTGGTCCAGCATGAAATACTGGAAATTTAAATGGACTTTCTTGCTTATAAACTCCATTTTCATCAATCCATCTTTCTGGTTTGTACTCACCACAATCTTTACCCCAAATATTTTCCATTCTTCCCATACTATAAGTTTGATAACTAAAAAACCAATCTTTACCAATAAAAGTCCCATCTGGTAAAATATCATCTTTCAAACATGACCTTGTATCAATTGGTACTGGTGGATATAACCTCATTGCTTCTGAAATAGATGCATGAAGATACTTCATTTCTCTTAATTCGTCGAAATTATAAGCTTCACCAATCTTTTTCCCATTTCTTCGACGAATATCTTCTAATTCTTCTAATATTTTTTCCTCTATATCTTTCCTTGACGATAATATCCAAAAGAACCAAGTAAGCGCCGATGATGTCGTGTCTCGACCAGCTAATATGAAACTAATGACTATGTCCCTCAAGAATTTAGCTGAGAATTGATTATCCGCCATGAATCTTGATAACAAGTCTTCATCTTTATTCTCAGCTCGTTCTTCCATTCTTGAATTTATGATCTTATCCGCGAATTCATGTACTATCTTGATTGATTTTTGTAGCTTTTTTTCTGATCCAATGTTCAAGAATTTCTTGATTTTGTAAAGGAAGGGAATAGCATACATAAACCTACCTGAACTTAGAGTTGTTGCAATTTCAAAAGCTTGCATGAATTCACTTTCAGCTCCACCTAAACAATTTGGATCAACATTGAATGCGAGCTTGATAATATTATCAAATGCAAATCTTTCTAAGATGTCTTGAATGTCAATAATTCTATCCTTTTTGGCTGCTGCTTCAAGAATTGGAATCAAACGTGTATGTATTTCCACCTGTTATAACATTAATAAATTAAAACATTTCTTCTAAGTACTTAACATAAATGAAGTGACAAATTCAATATACAATCAAACCTCTCTATAACAACCTCATGTGTTTTAGATTTTTTTGGATGTTATAGCGAAGTGATGTTATAGAAAACATATATTATAACATAGTATGAAAATTGGTTCCATAATTAAAAAATTTGGCTTTTATAATGAATTGGCTCTCATATAGCGATGTTGTTACAGAAAACTGACTGTAATATCAAAACACCAATGCACCACCTATAATCAAACAAATAGTGCTTTCACATTTAAGAAAAAGAATGAGGACCCACTTTAAGTGACTTGTTAAGTAGTAGTGCTTTGATAAATTACAGAGAAAAGGTCCAAATTTACTATTTACTAATGCATGCGAAATATTTCAATCTACCCAACTCATTTGATTTAGTAGATTCAAGAGAAAATAAGTCTTATTTGACCATTGAATAATTCACAATAAAATAATACATATTAAAGTTTAGTAAGAGTTGGAGGGGTTAGATTATGATCCAAATTTTAGGTCAACTTGACCTAGTCCATCTCAGCCTAAATTACTTTTGGGCGAAATAACCCGCTCATATATTGACTCGATTCATTTTGACCCGCCCAAAATCAGCACAACCTACCTATGTGACCCCCTAACAATGACATTAAAACATTACCTGTGCAGTTTCCATGACGAAATTCCTGAGAGATCTGGTGCTAAATTCATAACTAGCAGATTTCCTTTGAATTCTCCAAATTTCACCATCAACATTAAATATTCCATCACCCAGAAAATCTTCAAGCCGAGTATAGAAACGGATGCCTTTAGGAAAATTCTCAAAGTTGGTTTTAAGCATATGCTCAACGTTGAGTGGATTGGCAGTGATGACGCCGTGAACATTACCAGGACGGTAGAAGACGGCGGTATTGGTGGTGCAATTGGAGAGTACGTCGGTGGTCCATTCAAGAAAACGGTGACGGTTTAAGAGGAACTCCGGTAAAGCTCCGACGAGTGGGTAGATTTTGAAGCCTGGTTTTGTGGGTTTTTTGAGATTTTTAAGGAGAAATAAGAAATAGTAGAAAAAGAGAGAGATTAAGATAGCGAAGATAAGCGTTTGAAGTGAGAAAATTTCCATGGCTAGGAATTTGCAAATGGAATGGTAGAGGACGAAAATGATAAAGAAAACATATTTTTGTTGTCCACTATATGCACTGTGTATTAAGTAAAACCAAAAAAGGAGAACTAATTGTTTGAAAATATTTCAGTGCTCTTTAATTAGGAAGAATTAATTTAAATAATTATTATTTATCTAGCCGCTTAAATTTAAAAAATATTTGTCGAATGTGTAAGATATGTATAACCTTGTAAATTAGTGTATAGTATATAATCTATGTATACCATTAATCAACAATGAATCCAGTTGGCTTTTTGTGTAAATATCCTTTTAATTATTAGTGATTTCACCATCAATCAAATCGAATCCCCCTCAATACCTTATGGGTTGAACCTGCTTAGTGCAGTTTAAATTTCATGTATGGTTTGCAGGCTATTACACAGGGGGAGGTTTATCCAGTGTACACAAAATGTTCACCTGAAGGACAGAGATTGTAGCGGCTGTGGGTTTCCTCTTAAATTTTTTTTTTAGGTTGTTAGTGTATGTAAGTTAGATCTTATTTATATACTTTATTTACTAACTTTTATGTACAATTAATGTTGCTAAATAAGTAAAATTGAGATCGATCAAATTAACTTCACGCATGTGTAGATCCAAAGAATATTTAAATTAAACTTTTCTTTACGTAAAAGTTTAAGGAGGTTTAAGAACTAAGACTTGGTCTTCGGCTCCTTAATTGGAGAGGCTACTGAAAAACAGAACAAATATAGTTATTGCTAATCATATTTATACGGAGAATTACAACTAAATCGCAAAAATTACGTAAAGTATACCTCAAATCTTAATATTCCATTGTAGGTTAAGATACTTAAATTTGAATATGCAAATTTGTCTTCAACAAGAAATCATGTCAGTTTTTCAAAATTTTTGCTTTCCAACCCGAGAATTTTGGTTTTAATTTAATATAGGTCACCAAATAAACCAATATTTCGGATGATTTTACCTCGTGATAGTTGTTTACTTGCTTATAAAAAATAAAGACTAATAAACTTTATTTTGTGGATCACCTTGACAATTGTAGAGATAACTTAAACATGCAAAATGCCCTTATCACGAGTGCGTAAAAGACAACTTTAATACGTGGATGTTTTGGGTACATAAAGAAATGGAGATGAAGTGGAGGAGTTTCTGTCGTCGTTTTCTATATATCTTGTTAGTAACTTACACGTTTGTGGCTCTATTTGGACGAGATGATTGATAATCCAAAAGTTACCTTCCCCGTGTTACTGATCAAAGGTCAGTAGTTGTGTGTGTATATATGTATATATATACTTTCTTGTTTCATTTTTAATTGTTCACTTTTGACTTTGACTTCTTTTAAAAAAAAAAAGTAAAGTATGTATTTTATAATTTTGCTCGTAATAATGATAACATTTTCAAAGTTTTGAGAAACAGGAAAAAAATGATTTTTTATTTATTTATTATAGTGAACAAGTAAAAATGAACGGAAGTAAGGATAGGCATTTGGTACTGTTCGATATTTGTTGTTTGGTTTCGGTAAACAACCAAACATTCTCGTTTTGGAATAAAGAATAGACCTTTGTCTTAGTCTCTCGCCGCGAACATCCAGACTCATTGCTGTAATTCTCGTTTTGAAAAATTTGTAGAATTTGCAATAAACTCCTAGTTGACCTAAGCAAAAGGGGGTAAGCTACTGACTACTAATCCGTAAGCCTGCCTAATTGCCTAAGGAACTAAGGAAGGGAACTAGGAAATTAGGGGGTGGGAGGGTGGGTTGGGCAGTTGGGGTGTTGGGCTTAGGCTTATTAGGCTGAAAATAGAAATAAATGTGGGCTGGTCAGTATACTATATAGGAATTTTTACCTCCTATAACAAAGGTTAACACCTTATTTATTTTAAATAAATACCATTTAAAAAAATTATATTCTATAGATACCTTTTAAGGTTTATAACAAAATATTAAATTTTGGTTACCTCCTAGCCCTAAGCCACTAAATACGCTAATCAGTTACACTATTTTCTTTCTCTCTCTACTTTGATACATCCCATTCTCTTCCCCCATCCCATTAAAATTTCTGATCTCCTCCTCCTTCCACCGGATTTGTGCAAAGCCCACTTCAGAAATTGCTCCGGCTCCCCGCATCCGGTTGAGAGAAACCCAGTTCAGAAACCTCTTTGTCTAAAGTTTCTGATCC